CTTTCTACGATGTTCAAAGGTCAGCATATCCTGTTAGAAAAGGTCATTCTCTTGCTTCAGATTACCAGTGGAATATTTCAGGCTCTTCAAGTCGATGTGATTGTCAGTTATGGCGAATTGAGCAAGGAGGGACCGAGGAGCAGCTGGGCCGAGCCAGAGCGGAGCCCCGCGGGGCTGCGTGTGCGGAGGTGGCACCGCTCCCTCCCGGCGCTCCTCCGCTCTGCGCAGCCACGGGGCGCTGGCGAGACCCGGCGAGACCTTGCAGGAAAGGTCCTGAGCTTTTCTGGGTATTAAAGATCCATTTCAGCGTTCTAAAAAGCTTGATGAAGTATTAAGCTTGATGCTCTGGCAAAATTCCAGGTTACATAATTATATTATTCCGCTTACTCGAATTGTCCTTTCAATTTCAAATAGAGATGATACAGTCCTTCTCAAAGGGTAGCTTTTCCGTGAATTGTTAAATAGCTGCTGGATTCCAGCAGTGGATAAAGCAGTTTCCCTGTGTGCACCTCTTAACCATGTATTTATAGTGGCTGAAATGATGAAGTGATGAAAAGTTAAATTTCATAGTGAAAACTCCTGTACAAAGGGAAGTCCTCATTAGGTGCATCTACTTTGCATTTTTCTTTGCTAACAAAAATGTTTACTGTAGTAACTCAAGAAAATGTCTAACAGACTAATAATTTCTACTGTATCTGTGCATCATCCACAATTTTTTTATCTTCTCTGCAAGTACATAAGCACAAAATGAAAATCTGACTATGCGGTTGTGCAGACTTAGGAGAGAGGGGGTTGCTTTTTTTTTTTTTTAATTTTTTTTTGGGGGGGGGGAATGCACAGTGTAGCTGATGGCTAAATTTGGCTTAGGTATTTTTATTACTTGTGATGATATAAGAAATGATAGAACTGGCCTCCTCAGATCTCAAGCTGAATTTGCATTCAAGAAAACTATTTGTGGCCAGTTGTCTCAGACCACAGAAATACGAGAAAAACCTAGTAATATCTTGTGCTCAGTACAAGTCGGTAGTAATTGCAAAGACCCAATCTGCCACAGTCAATTTAACCGAAAAGTTGGAACTTCTAGTTTGTCCATTAGAAGGCTGAACAGAGCTATTACACACTTGGGAAGTGCAGTAGCTTTTCCATCTTGTTCTTTTCCCAGGGCTGTGTCAAGCTGTCAGTGTGGGAGACGCAGGTAGTAGCATCAGCTCGTCGATTTGGGGCATATTCTGCCATCGTTTACTGCTGCTTTCAGAGAAATTTCTTACATGGACATCCCTGTCGCTTTGTCTTGCTAGTGTTCTTGTTATAGGTGGTGCTTTAAAATATTTTATAGTAAACTAGTGGCAGGTCTGAAGAAACTTTCACTTCCCATTTTCTGAGCCTGCAGAGCGCTAGTTTCCAGGGAAGAAAATGCTGTGCCACCGGGTGAAGCCAGCAGTAAGCGTGCATTAATTAAACTTGAGTTTGGGAGTTAAGTAAGGTTGAAGATGGCTTTTGGACAGCCTGGTGTGTATTGTTCTGCTGCTCTATTGAGCCATCATGATTATTTTTGAATGGGAGTAGTTCACTGAAGGCAATGGGACTGCTCATAGTGATGTAGGTGAACACCTGCATGAATAGTTACAGAATGAGTCAGTTGCAACAGGTGGTCTGCTGCAATAAAAGGCTTAAATTTCCATTATTAGAACTGGTTTTGCCTCCTCCCAACAGTTCTTCCTCAAAACTTCCTTTGGTTTGCTGTTCTGCTAGAAGTTTTATTTTTAATGTTACTTAAAGTATTTGCTGCTTTGGAATAGCGGATTGTACATCAGAAATAGCCTTAGACCAGCAGTTTTTTACTATGTTTGAGGCTATTTGGATGTTGTTTTTAAAAAAGATTGCAAAGCTATAGCTGTCAACAGTGAATAAGCACGAAAGGAAGTTAGGAGCTGCATTTTAATTGTTCTGGTACCTGGTTTGTCCATTTAGATGCATTTGATAAATCTTAATTATATACAATTAGAATACATAGAAATGTAATTAGAAAATGATAGAAGGTGCAAATGCCTCTTCACGTGGTAACAATATGTAATCACACATAAATATGTATAATTGGCTTTGTTATTTACTACAGAGTTAACACTGCAAACTTTCGCATAGTCAGGAAGAATACTGATGGTCTTCAGAAAGATTACTGTGCTCTTCTCTATTTGCTAGGCAATATAATTAGATCTGAGTATTAGAATACACTTACAAACTTTGCTGGCTTAAGTTGGGAAATTCAGGAATTTCAAAATAAGGTTAGCATATACTTTAAATTTTTATGGATTGTACCATGGACGGAATCACATTTTTCATTGAAAACATGAATTATAAAAATAGTGCTGTGTGGCTGATTATTTGCAACGTGACAGCTGAGGCTGATATTATTGGTGCCTCAACAAAAAGATCCTGTTGCCAAAATGGATAAAAACCCAACAGAATAGATAACAGGACTACTGAAACAGCATAGCAGTATTTCAGATTTAACATCTCTATTGCTCCTGCTTTCTTAACATACTTCTAAGTCTTTGATCAAAAAATTTGCCCATCCCTTTAGACTTAGTACTATTTCTTTGCAAATTTTGAGATTATTTTAAGCATAATTTTATTTTTGGATTTTTAAAAATAATTTTTTGGTTATTAATAAATACCTTCAAAACCGGCATGGTTAATGCTTTTACAGTGTTTTAACAAAATTAAACTCTGAAGATTATAATATAGTAGAAACTTATGGATTGACTTCTATTTACGTGCCATTTATTTGAAAGTGGTTATAAAAGTCCTGAAGTGACTTGGTGCATTTATAGTGATTATTTTTCAATTAACTGTAGCAAATGTTTTTAATACAGCTGTCTATTAAGAAAGGTGGCCTTATCATAAGAGGAATATCATACTACATAGAATATGCCTATTAATCTGCAGCAGAAAAGTTGGTTCTTTTGTTGGGGGATTATAGTGCATTAATGATAAATCTGGTAGGAAGATTCAGTCCTAAAGCTTCTGATGGAAAATGAGAACAAAGAAAGATGGTATTTCAACAGCCATCTGTCAGTTGGCGCATCAACAGTATTTTTATATAGGTGAGATTTCACACTGAAGAACCTTCCAATAGCATTTCTCACCAGAGCTGTGTTATGGTGGATGCATTTTGAAAATTTATGAAGTTAGAACTATTTCTCACTTCTCAGTTACTGTGATGATCACCTGGAATTACACTTTCTAATTGATGTTGCTTTCTTAAACTTACTGGTAGAAGGGTATCGACCCTACGCAAACATATTTTTCATGCTTATAGAATAGAAAACCAAAGTACAACATGAAACCTTTGACAAGAGGTTTAACAATATTTAATACCTTAATTCAAAATAGTATGCATATAGTGTTGTGAGCCAAGCTATGAGTAGTTAGAACGTGTAGTAAACTTTATTATAAGAGCTATTAAAGTGCCAATAACTTATTATATATAAAGTGATGCAATGATGCACTACTGAGCATGCAAAATACCTTAAAGCAAAAGATACTGAGTTCATTGTTTTGTTAACTTGACAACAGCTTAAATGTCAGCATGAGGTTATTTCATTCCTAATTGTTTTTCCAAAAAACCTAAGGAGGCTAATCTATGTTTATTATATTTTGATGGAGGGCTACAGACAACTTTGCTGCCACAGTGGCATCATGCATTTAGCCTTATTTTCCAATAATCTGAAAAAGACAGGAAAATATATTGAATTGTGCTTCCTCCTAATTATGAAATCTGTTACTACTTTTGCTGTCAGGAGCAAATCCTATCAGTAGGGTTTAAAAAGTCCAATAGCATCAAGTATTTATCTAAAAAAAATCTTACCTTTTCATGCCACTCTAAGAGAAATACTAAACGTGTGCATTAAGGAAATATGCTATCCTGAATAATAACAGTAATGTAATAAAGTCTCCTTTGTTGGCATCTGATCAGTTCATATTATAAGTATCTATAAAACTTCATAGCTTATCAGGCTGCTTATCAGTACTTTTCTGGTTTTTGGCTTGGTGCTGCTGTATGAACGGGTCACCGTTCAGCACTGCCATGGTAACAAATTGTTTGACTGTGATTCAGGGTGGACATAATCAGTTCAGCTTTGTACCTGCTCTCTCTTCTGTTCCTGTATTGACAAGCAAAGGTAGTGTTACAGGACAGCAGGTTACCAGACAAATGCCAGACCAGAGGAGATACCTACTGCAGAGGTGATTGCCTATAAAATCAACACTTTGTAGTTCATTGAGAAAGCGTGTTCTAGTTTATCAAACAGTATTTATTAGGAATGCAAATTGACAGATTTAAATGCACAACTAATCATGTTAACTCCTATCACTAAGGAATAACTATTAAATAGAAGCATGATTAGTTTTTAGAGGCTCTATCAGAATCCAAAATACACTGAGCAATCATAACTTTATCACCGTTTTAAATATATAAAGTTGGGCTACTCATCTTATGTAATTATTACGGCCTTATGAAATTTGAACATAGTAACGCATATAGATAATGTACATTGCTTATTTGGAGTGTCCTATTATATCCTTATTTTAATCTTTGTATATCTCATCCCTTAGCAATGCATTTTAGGGAGTCAATCCTCATTCTCCCTCCCCTCCAAAATGTTTCTTTTAACTTTAGAAACAAACCCAAACAAAAAATTCCTTATTTTAAAAAAAGTTACTTTCATAATGGCTTCAGGCTTTTCTCAAATACACACGGTTATAGTTTAATTATAAAACCAGTTTATGTAATGCTGATACATTTTTAAGATTTTGATTTTTTAATGCGTTGTCTTTGCTCTAGAACTAACACACATAAATACTGCATCTATCCCATGATGAGCTACTGAACCAGCATTAACATTGCAGGTTTCCTTTAGCTCTCCAATTCCTAAATTCTGTAGCTATTGCACATATGGATTTATAGAAGAAAGATACAAAGAAAAATACAGAATACTTTAGGTTGAGCACCTTTAGTACAATCAAAATAATTAATGATCAAGTCATCTGAGAAATTGCTCAAGCTTAATTTTCAGAAATGCAGGTTATTTCACAGGAATATATAAATGACAAGACCAATTCAAGTGGTACAAAGAATTCTGCTCACTGAAATGCTAAACTTTATTTACACAGCTTTCCTTCTATTAAATATTACTAAAGAATTGGTGGTACATAAACAATGGTACATGCAATTTGATCCCTTTATGAAGAAAAATAAATTTACAGTTCTGTTAAATAAAGATCAAATGCTATTATATACAGTCTGTTAACCGAAAGGCCTTGTGAGACATTCAGGTCTAATTTTAATACTTCCCAAATAAATACCAAATAACGCAACATTTACAAATAGCACACCAGCAGTACTTTCACGGTAATCATTTTACAAATCAGAATTTAGTATTTCAATTAAGCAAATGAGTAGCAGCTCCTTCATAAATATTAAGGCATGTCACATAGCATCAAAATGGAACCGATGAGCCTCCTGTCGCTTCTCTCTGTCATCAGCTTTCTGAAAAATAATAATAAAAACAGACTTTGTAGGATCTAGAGCAATACCGTTACAGAAATGAGTTGCCAAATGTCAGAGAATGGTTGATTTTTTTCCAAGTCACTCATTTGACAAAAGGCAAAAAGCTTAGTAAAAGCCCCAATAATTAGCTTTTAAATTATGTCAGTTTGAAATAACAATAATCTACTCAAAATTGGCTTCTGCTGTTAATGCTCAGCTGTTTTAGTGTTTATGACCCACTATTTTCTATTATTTCTAATAATTTCTTTAAAAGGAATATCTCAAAAATGAAGAATGTTTCTTAGTATGCATTTATTTAGCCTGCATTATAAATACAAGATGAAATTACTCTAGATTAACTGTAAATGTCATCTATGTTACACTTAAAATGAGATTCTTTAAGAAGTCTGTTAAATACAAATTTAGACAAAGATGGCAGTTCAACCAGCAATTAACAGCACCAAGAAGGCTAAAAATGTTCTGTGTTTTTGTTTGTATGATGGAAACATGTTTGTATGACGGAAACATTGACCTGCTGAAAGAGTAGTTGGGATGGTGCTTGGAAAATAGAAGCATATTTAAATTGGACACATAATCCATGTAATGAGTAAAAACATGTCCTCTCCCACAAGCCTCCTCTTGTGTTCTAATGCAGTATCAGTATGAAAGCACTTATTAAAGGAGTTTTGAACACACAGTGTGAACTTTTCTAGAAAACGGTGTTTTGTCATGACAGATAGTATGTGTAAAACCTAGCATAAGAGAATGTAGCAAAACAGATTTAAATGCTTTTTAGCTTGCTTATACCTAACTTCATTTTTTTTTTTTTTTTTTAATGAGTAAAATGAAGAAAAGCCTTTACAGTATGCTGTTGTGTGGGCATTCAGATTTGTATCTCAGCTGACAAATATACATGACAATTTCAGTAGAAATCAGTGCATGTGTTCTGCCATGAAAGTTTGTCATCTGCTTTGGTGTGAAGCCAAAGATTTCCTCGTCACGCAGTGTTTATGTATGATAGCAACTCCATTGGATTAACTATGGATGTTACTGCATTTTGTGGCAGCAGCAGAACTGTCGGTGAAGTTTAAGATATATCAGTCTGGCTTTTTGGCAGGAACTTTATCAATGTCAGTAGTATTTTGAATGTCAAAAATGGGGTGGGAAGAAGGGAGTGGCATACATTAAAATGCTCGTCACATTCCACAAAATTTTATAGTCTCACTTAGAAAGCAATTTTCACTCCATTTCTTGTATGGTTCCTGAAAAAATTACTAGTTCAAATTTGACGGTAACTGATACTCTGATGAATCCATCAAAACTTCTCTAGCAGTATTATCATTAATGCATAGTGTTCATATGATAGCCTCAAGACCACAAAGCAAGTTATAAAGAATCAGAATACAGGAGTATCAAGATCCTTAGCTAAAGTAGCAGACAATATTTGTTGTAAGATGAATAATGGTGTAAATTCTTCCCCAATTTCTTTTTCATTTGATGTATCAAAAGTAAGAACTAGTACCTGAGAGTTGAAAGCTTTTATTTTTTTTATTTTTTTTTTAAATGGATCCAAAATTGCTAAGGAATGACAGAGCAACATACTATCCCTAACGCCTACAGTTATTTAAACAATACAATACTCGGCTGGTAGATGAGTGTATAAGAACCATTGTAGACAAAGGGCTCCTATTACTACTTATCTGCAGCAGTCAAAGTACATGGTTTATTTTAACTGCTGAACGAAACACTGCAGCTTACAGACAGATACATCCTCTGGGGGAAAAGAAGAGATTGCAACCGCCAGTACATTTCCCCTTCCTTTCTTTGCTATAGGTACTCTAGAGATCTGCAAGGGAAAACAGCATTTAGGCAGAACAGTATTTTTATGCGGATTACTGAAAGAGGCAGTCCACCAAGAACAAGCTTAGAAACAAGGAACTTTAGAGTCCTTTGGAACTCCAAATCATGTCAGTACAGCCTTGGTCAAGACTATTATTTGTTCTGTACCTCAACCATTTCTTCTAAAAATTGGGAAGGTAAAAATCAATAGGAAGGCACTGGGAAGTTATAGGAATTAACGAATGGTTATACAGTAGTCTGAAAACATACACAATTTATCCAAATATTTGTGCCTATTTTGAGCAAGATGCAGTGGCTGGAAATGAGTTTATAATATAACGATTACCGCACTTCATTCACATATACCTAAGGGTTTAAAGTGTCTCAGAAAGCAATCACTCTGGGCTGAGTGCTTCTTTACATTACAATACATGAATTATTATATGAAGGATTGTTTTACATGTTGACATTAAATCTCTATTTCTCCAGATGGAACTATACATAGTTAATCCTTCCCCAAGTCAACATCCAGGTATTTTTTCCTGCTACTCTTGTTGCTTAAGATGTGCTGGAGACAGAGTTACACCCAGCCAGTGCACAGTCCTAGCTAGCAGTCAGCAATGCTTTCTTGGTACAGTAGGACATGCTAAGGACAGTCATCATAAACTTTGTATTTCTTTGCTTTGTGTGTTTTATTCCCAGCTTTACTATTATCTGAAGACCATATTTAACATTTTGAAGAGTGACAGACAAATAACATTTAAATATGAAGCATGCGCAAAGCCTATCTGAATGTTTAACAAGGTCATTTTATTTCCACAAGCACAAAATAACAAACAGTTCTACCACATCAAAATGTGCAGTAATTTTATTTGACAGCCAAGATTATGGTTTGGGTATGTAGTAGCATTTATTGGCAATCCTGCCAGTTGGATATGATTGCAAACTGAGCATAGTTAAGAAAAATGGGAACGCATTTCTTTTGTGACATGAAAGGCCCCTTTCAAAATGCTTCTTCAAATCAATGGATTTCTATACACTGCATGTATAATTCAGACACACAGAGCAAAGCAGCCAATATGCACACAACTGACTCCCTATACAGTCTTGAATGCTAATGTCAGTGCAATCAGCAAAGATAGATACAGAAAAAGAGACATTTTCCTTATTTTTAGATTACTAGCAGAACTCAAGATAAGCGAACTGAGTTTATGTTCCATTTTCCAAAACAGTACTCCTTAAAACTCTGCAAAATAGAAAGCTTAGATATGAAGCAAACCAGTCTCATTTAGTTGGGAATAACAGCTTAATGGCAAAAGCTTACCCATGTTGCTCTTCATTTCCCTTTTTAAGTCTCTTAAAGCTTAAATAAAAACAATGCCAATTTTTAAGCTTGCCGTAAATACTGAATTAATAATAAACACCTTTTGGGAATTAATGCAGTCTGTGTTTTATGCTGTAGAAAACCACTAAAAAAACAATGTACAAGACTGTAAAATATTAGGAAGTGTTAAACAGTATAGAAAATATAGAAAATAATCTAGTTAATTCAGCTTACCTTTTCTTGCCAGTGTAATATGCCAATTATTGCCAGGATGAAAACACAGACACCAATTAAGGCTATAGCTGTTAGCAGCACGATGTTACTTGGGGTCAGATAAAGCTTGGCACTCCAGCTATACAAAAGAAGAAAATCCAAGGAAACATTAATACCCTTCATTAGGAAGCAGAAAACAGATTTAACTTGGAACGATGAAAAGAACCTGCTAGTGTAAGACAGGTAACAACGTGGTCTACAGAAACTAGTGGCTATACTTAAGAGACTGAAGCTTAATGGTGCTTACTTGGAAATATATGGCTTAATATAATTATTTTCAGGTAATGCCATGTCTAAATTCAGTTTCTGTTTAACTTTCCAGGAATGCTATGGATATCCTCAGGGACGGACTTTTTTCTCATCAGGAGATTTTATCTCCTGCCCAGGACAAAGTAAAATCTGTAAGAAAACATTCCACAAAACTGCCTGGGGCCTGGGGAGATGGAGAAGCAGAGTGAAATAAGCCTGTAAGGTAGATCTTTTCCTCCACGTGAGAAGCTCCTCTTGGACAGGCTCATGGGCTCCAGTTGGTTAGGTATCTCTCAGTCTGAACAACTGCAGTTATAGACAACATACCCGTTAACTATGGCAGAAGAATGCTGGAGAGCAACAAAATTAAGCACTTTAAGGGCTTCCGGAGACATTCCTCGAATGTTGTGGGCTCCTAAGGCTCAGTTTACACCCTTTTTGTACTACAGGCTTCCTACCATAGGAAAGCTGTCAGCAGGAGGCTCTATGTTAAGGCAGCACTGAGGCCTCTCAGGAAACAACGTATCTACATTAAAAAATTATAAATTTAAGAAGTGCTTATTATGAAATCTGATTTCATCTGGGGATTCTATCGTCTGCTAATCTACAGTGTCCATAAACTTACTTTATAGGAAAGCAAAACTAGTTTAAGGATAAGCTGACAGAAAAATTTTTGCATAACACATACCTTCAAATACCTCAAGACTATAACTAAATATTCTTCATCTGGCAGATGTTATTCCTGTGGTTGTTAATTAGCAACTCAAGCGGCACATCACTTCTCAACTGTTATTTGTCCTATAGTAAAATTAACTGCTGAAACTGATGTCAGAATCATTGCTGCACGATAAATGTAACTGACCTCACTAGTAGATCAAGCGGCAAAAAGCAGCTGGAATATGTGACTAATGTTTCTCTAATAGCAAAGACAGAAACATACTCTCTTTCTGGGATAAACATTTTAATTGCAAAGCAAATTCAGTGTTCAACCTCTTGTGTAACCAACCCATTCACCTTTACTCAAAAACATTCATACCTGTGGCAACAGATACTGCATTCAGAAGGGCCAAACTAAAGCTTTTATAGGCAGCTAGACAGAAATTACATGTTTGGTGAAACAAAAAGACTTGTTTCAATCATTACCATGCTTGCAGTTTGTAAAAAAGAATGTTGGTAAATCTAGCAAATATGTTATTATTTACAGGAGTTGAGCTGGTAATACATTTTGATTGTTTGTTTGAGCTGGTATTTTGACTGTTTATGGTCACTATCTAAGAGTCTGTGTCAATAGCCGAGAAGTATTCTGCCTAGTCAGAGAGGCAACTACCATAGAACTGACTTCCTCACCACTGTTCTTAAATTTACTTTCTATGCAAGTGACTATTTTTAATCCTACACATAGTGCCTAATTTAAACTCTGTATTAATGTATTTTTGTGAAGTGCAAATCAAAGCTGTGAAGTTACCTTCGAGGAACATTATGAGGATAGGGAATGACTATAAGCTGGGAGTTTGGTATGATAGCTGTCCATTCTTGTCTTCTTATGGACTGAAAGAATAACAAAGGCTATGTCAATTCCTAAGGACCCAACATGCTTAAAAGCAAAGAAATTCTCTGTTGAAACATACAAAAGGAGAAACAAAAAAGTTGTCTTTTTTTTTTTTTAAATATAAGTGATTATTCCCTTATGTTTGTATAAACCTTTTATTCTGAAAGCTCCAAAGTGCTTTTAAAAAAAAAAAAAGTAAAAAGTAAAATAACTATTACTGACATGAAACACAGCATCTGCTTAAAAAGTACAAAGTAACAACATAATAAGGAAAGAACCACCAATTCTACAAAGGAAGCAGGCAAAGCAATTATCCAAATCAGAATTTGTCCAGTACCTTAATTCGAATACCTCACTTTTTAAAGTAGTTCCATCCCACCTTTAAAAACTGAAAATGGTCAGGACCCTACTTTTATGTTTCATATGAATATTAGATAATCACAGTAATCTCCATCTCCCGTCGTATTGAGCATGGTTTTATCACTGAGGCAGAAAGGATTATGAGAGTTTACAGGCGAGCCAGACCAATCCCAGGAAACGTCTTATAGCTGAGATCATAATAATTAGACCCTCAGATCTAATACACATTTACCATGTAAACAAGCACTATATACCTGTGCTAATATTTATAGACAACTTCTGTCATCTTTTGGTCTTAAGTGTTACTTCAGAGCTTATACACACCCCAAAACCCAAGCATACAAGGTTCTTTCTGACAAACTTTTCTGGATTCAAACTTACTACTTTGATACTCTTGCTTCTGGAAAGAAAAAAAAAAAAAAAAAAGGCAGTATTTCCATCCAAACTCTATTTGTTTGGAAAGGCAACACCATAAATATTAGCTTGGTAATCTTAAATCCCAACTAACCTTTTCTCCTAAAGGACGAGGAATGCCAACGTACAAGTGGTCGAGGAAATTAGCACTACGTCCCAAGCCCAGCACGTTGTATGGCAACTGGAGGGCAAAATGTGCTGACTGGCTAAGCTGTCCAGCTGAAATAAAATTAGAAAAGAAGCTCAAGTAGGTATTTTGGAAAAAAACAGCCCCCAAACCACCAACTTTCTACACAAATACACATTTCAGAGTCAGTAATAAAAATGTTTAAAAAAATTTAACCAACTGCATGATTATTTAATTCTTAAAGGCTCAGTCCCACATTTCCAAACTACTTGTGGGCACTTACTTAGAGAATAGTTTAAATGATTTAGATTTCTAGGTAAGATGATTCTTTTGAGCACCATTTCTGAGTTAAACTGAATCTCTACTACTTGTTACAAGTTCAGAGGAAATGAGCTATCTGCATTTATTTCGGTATGAGCAGTGCCCAGGCTTTTGTCCCATTGATTTACAAGCTCAGACTCAACATGTGAAGGTTTACTTTAATTCTTATTAGTGTTAATCAGTAAGTACTGTTTTTTCTTGTGTCACAAAATTAGGTAAGTAAATTCTCACGAACAAATTCTCAAATAATAAATTAATTTAATGAAAACAGGATTACAGTGGTTGCAAGTTAGGCCCTAGTGAGAGAACGTAATTATTCATAATTAAAGGAGACTGTAGGGGAAAAATAACATTCTTTGTTTCCTGAAAAGGCAGTAGGGAAACAGAGAAGTTGCTATAACAGGTTCACTAACATCCCATTTCCGAAGTATACAATTATTTCATTTAAATAAAAATCTAGTAATTTTTTATTTTCTGGCAAACTGATTCAGATCTTACGTAGATTCTTTGTTCATTCTCTAGAAAGCCTCTTAGTAAGTGATCTGGTTACA